ATCATGGGAAGGACAGGAGCCAAATGCCTCCAGGTCTCAAAGATACAAAACACAGGCAAAAAGGCAAAAGCCATCATCCAGGGGGAAAACTAATACAACAGAATTTCAAGAGCCTTTAACCACCTTTCCCAACTCCCAAACCCATTAATTCTTATAGGTTTTGCAGAATTTCATAAAGAAAGTTAAAAAGAATATGAAATACTACAACAGTAGCTTTTTCATTGCCTTTTAAAAACAATCTTTACTGGGCTGCAATCCACAACAACAATAAATGCTAAGGTGCTTCGGTTGAAGGGAGGATGTGGGCCTGGAGCCTCACCAGCTCAACCTTCCTTGCCCCAACCCCAACCCCACTTGAAACACCTGCTCTGTCAAACCCCATTTTATTAACTGCTAACCAGAACATGCACCCAAAACCTTCTCCTTGCTCTGAGGACTACTAAGGAAGCCTCCAGAAATATCTCCCATGGCTTTCATGGGAAGGACACACCCCCTCCCGAACAATAACTCTGTTTTCAATGTACAGCATGGAGTTTAAAAAGAATATCCACTGCTCAAGTGTTCCCTGTTCCTTCTTATTCATTTACATATCTACTACATAAATACAGGATAAAACATTTTGGATAAATGGCTCCACAACACACTCTAAATATTAAGATCCATAATTTCCCACAGCTTCCCAAAGTTTTTTAGTTGACATGTGTTTGGCAGCTGATACCCTAAAAAACTCTTCTTCCATAAGATGGAAAAATGCAGTCTGTTTCTCAAAGCTCAAATCTCCTTACGTAAAAATCAAAATCATTTCTTATTTATGAGAACTAACCTGCAGACACGGGCTGGAAAATACAATTTTTGCCAAGAACGACACAGATATTGTGAATGATCGATCACTCTGATCCAGTCAAGTTCATCCATGGACACTTCAATGAAGTATGAATAAGACCTTTGAATCAAAAGGAAAACAGCAGGAAAATTACCATATTAAAACAAAACAAACTTATACTTTAATATAACATTAAAAGGTATAAAAAAATATAAAATTCACTAACTGCATTTTCTACATAACATTCAAATTTTGCTAACAATGGAAGCTGTGTCTTAGTTATCTAGTGCTGCTATAAGAGAAATACCACAGATGCAAGGCTTTAACAAACAGGAATGAATTCTATCACAATATGGGAAGCTACAAGTCCAAACTCAGGGATTCAGCTTCAGAGGAAGGCTTTCTCTGTCGGCTCTAGGGGAAGGTCCTTGTCATCAATCTTCCCCTGGTCTAGGAGCTTCTCAGCACAGGGACCCTGGGACCAAAGGACACCCTCCACTCCTGGCTCTTCTTGGGTTGGCGGCAAGGAGGTCCCTCTTTTTTCTGCTCGATTCTCTTTTATATTTCAAAAGACACTGACTCAAGATGCAGCCTAATCCTGTAGATTGAGTCCTGCCTCATTAACATAACTGCCTCTAATCCTGCCTCACTGACATCATAGAGGTTAGGATTTACAACACATATGATAATCACATCAGATCACAAAATGGTGGACAACCACACATTACTGGGAATCATGGCCTACCCAAGTTGAGACACATTTTTAGGGGACATAATTCAATCCATAACAATCTGTCTATACCCATCTGTTGTAGAACTCACCACAATGTACTGAAATTACCTCTTGGCATGTCCGTCTCCCTTACTAAATCATAAGCTGCTTAAGAACACGGACCGTGTCATATTTAATCTTTGTATACCCAGAGCCTAGCATGGGGTTTGGCACCTATCAGGTACACAAAACATTTGTTCCTATGGGCCAAGATGCTTCTATCATACCACACTGGCAGATTAATAAAGCATGACAGAGAGATGACAAAAAAGAGAGAGCAAGCAGTGAGCCTTCTTCCCCTACCTTCCCTGGACTGGGTGCTCAGCCCTACCCTCTTAGGAGGAAAGTCAACTGGGAAAGGTTCCCCATTCCAAGCTGCTTATCTCCTGCTCCCTCCTGGTCTCCCAACATCCCACACATACATGCAGCCTGCAAGAAAACAAATGATATGGGTGAAGAGATAATGTGTGTTTCTTTTGGGTACAACTTAAAACTTGCCAGCTAACAATCTGGCAGTAATGAAAATAGCCTATCATCCTCCCCTAGTCAGCTGCCCTGGATCATTACATGCTGGTCCCATACTGAACAAATCTATATTCCCCTGTCATAACCCAAATTTAAATTTGTGATGCAGTTATTACTTCAACTGTAATATCAACAGGAACAATCTCAGAAGATTTAGGTGACCATAAATGTCAGCTTGCAACCAACAGTTGTGACCAGAAAAGGTCAGCTTATTTTGTGTCATCCCCTCATTTTCTGCTGTCCCCTCACTCCCATTCATTTTATCGCTCAGTCTCAAACTGGTTATAACCTTTTATTGAACCTCTCTGGGTTATCAGTAATGCAGGATATAATTTTACAACACATATCAGAATCTTTTTGGCTTAAGATTCTGAATTTTTCACCTTTGCTTAGAATAACAACTTCTGTGGGAAAGGAACAGTTATGCAGCATAAATGTAAAGCACATACTAAAACGAAGTGGCCTATAAATATGTAACACCATGGAAATGATAACCACTTTCAGTTTCAAACATACTAACCTTTTCTTTTATTATTTTTAATAATAATTTCATTCTTAATTAAATGAGTGAGTATATATAAAGGTTCTAGAACCGTGTCTAGCATATAAATAACGAAAAGTGCTATGTCAGCATTATTGTCATACTTTTATCATTAATCAGAGACTCTTTGAAATGATATGTGTAAATAAGCCCCACTTTGCCAATTAAACATCAAATTATATCCAAAAAGATACAAATTAGGAAATATATTCTTAATCAGAAAGAGATAAGAGAGATAACCTGAGGACCTCAAACATCTATGCACACGGGAAATGATGACTCCCATTTCATAAGGCTTTCCTCATACCTTGGCTCAAATGGCCTTAAAGAGCAGGGTGGCGGTCAGTGGTGCTAAAACACAATGCAACAGCCTACAAGATTTGCAGAATATCATCACTGTTAGTATTAAGCTCTTCACACCCATACCCAGAGAGGCAGGAGTGGGGCCGAGGAGGCTCTGTACACCAGTTTCTGGGTACGCAGAGTTTAGGTTAATGATAAGCAACAATGACAGAGATAGTTCTTGGATGCACATACTGCTCCGGACTTGTGCCATTGTCACCGGACCCTAGCAGTAGCAGTGGGTAACAGATCACAGTGGCTGGAAGGAGGGCAGAATCCTAAAGCCACTGTTAAACTGGGTGGGTTTCTAGGCTGGAGCCCCCCAAGTTCGCCCCCCAAATTTATTTTATTTTGAGGATGATATTAAATCCACACATTAAAGAACATTACTGTCCTTTATCCATAGGATAAAATGCACTTAAAAAGTTATAATATTCAAAAGTAAGGAATCTAGTAAATAAATTATGGTAACTCACCAGGTAGAATACCAGAAAACCACTGAAAAAGGATAAAATGTTCACAATGTTTTACTTAAAAAGTGAAGTTACCTCTTTGTACATTTAATCTATTTTCTAAAAATATGTGTGTAGGTTTCTGGGGTGTGTGTGTATATACATTAAAAAAAAAAAAAAAAGGCTGGTTAGACATATACATTACTAACGAGTAGTAAGATCCTAGCAATTTTTATTTTCTTCTATGTGCTCATCTATATTTTCCATGTGTTCTACGACAGACTTTTTTAAGAAGAAAAAAAAAAAATAGATGTTCTTTTTTAAAGGAATATGCCCTTGAAATCTTCCCCCAAAAGTAAAACTTCAAGAGAAAGAGCAAAGTGATCACAATGAAATAAACCATCACACCCTAAAAACCAAAGTAGAAGACCACAAAGTTAGATCATTTCAGTCAGACATAATGTCGGTTTCTAAGCCATGCCAATGACTCACCGGCTGTCCCGGTCCCACAGGAGTATCCGCATGTGATTGATGATGGACGGCTGACCTAACTTAATCTCGATGCCAGAACGGCAGTCATCATCAATTGGGTGCCTAGAAAATCCATGATCCAAATCATAATTTTGAGTATCACCATCTAATAAGGCAGACTTCAGCTCTCCTTTTACAACCTGGGCTCCATACTTCATAGTTGCAATGTTTTCTTCTGGTACTACAATTAAAAACAGAAAAGGTAGGGTTAATGATCACTTATGAAACGAATCTGTATGTTTTGGGGGAAGAAACTCTAGCATTCTAGTTGATTCCAGTATCTGCATTTAATCTAAAAATGACAGAGACATGTCTATGGAGATAGAAGATATGGAATGTCTATGGGGGTTAAGATACCATCCAGTCTAAATATTATTATCACAGCCACAAAGTGTCTAGGAATAATGTTACTACTAAGAAAACACTAGAAATCCTAGAAAAAACGTTCATTAGGACAAATAAATCAGCTCTGCTGAGTTCATTCTAACAGCTTTAATATCTACTGGACAAAAACAGGGGCCCTGGTGGCACAGTGGTTAAGAGCTTGACTGCTAACCAAAAGGTCGGCAATCTGAATCCACCAGCCGCTCCGTGGAAATTCTATGGGGCAGTTCTACTCTGTCCTATAGGGTCGCTATGAGTCGAAATCGACTTGACAGCATCGAGTTTTTTGGTTTGGACAAAAATAACATGTAAGATGATCTGTACCTGCCATCTGGACTTAGGACAATGTATAAACACAAAGCAGACAGGTTAGACATTGATAAAACAGAAAAAGAATGGTTCCAATCCAGCATAGCCATTAGTCATATGTGGATGTGCTAAATCGATTTATCTAGCTAAAAAACAAGAACATGTATAAAAGAATTTTTTTTTTAACCTAACTGGAGCGTTTTTAAAGATGAAAATTCAGTCTGTCATCAAAATCACTACTATGGTTATTATTAAGCCCCCTCTCCTCTCCAACATTAAAATAGATTTAAGGGTCAATTTTTGCTGAGACTCTGAAGCCCCCTCTGCAATGTTAGGCTCGTGATATGGAACTTGTCCTCCAGATACTAACATTCTACAACTGATGCTCCCTACGGAGAAACAAGAGGCAGCATAGAGCAGATATTAACAGCTTGTGCTTCAGTTAAACAGTGGCTCCCATTTTGACCAGCTGTTACCACTCTGGGGAAGTTACTCTCCCTGAGCCTCAATTTCCTCAACAGGGTAAAAATACCTATCTCTCAGGTGTTTTGAGGTTTTCTTGTTTCTGGGTTTTTTTTCCTTTTTGAAGGATTAAATGATCTGATATTTGTAAAGTACATAGTAAGTTCTAAAAAGACAGCCATTATTATTATGCAAGACATACAACAAAGCACACAATAAGAGAACTAAGTTTACAGACTGTAAATAAATACTGAATTCTCAAAGTACATACATATCTTGGCTATACAATTTGAATAAGAGAAAAGTTAGAGCTATAATCAGGCTTTTAGGGGAAGGGTGGTAAATAATTCATCATCGCAGATTTCTTGGAAAATGTGGGTTTAAAAAATTTTTTTCAAATGAAGACAGGAAAAGAAAGTAGCTCCAGAAGAGGAGACAATGTAGGCAATGTATGAAAAAATAGGAGTTGGGGGCAGCAAAAGACTGAGGTAACTCACCAGAAAACCCTAGTGGTGTTCAGCTTCTAACCACCAGAAGGCTAGGTGCTAAAGATCTATAACTTCCTAAGTTCTAAGGAAACCTGGTGGCACAGTGGTTACACATTTGGCTGCTAAACAAAAAATCAGCAGTTTAAACCCACTAGCCACTCCTCCGGAGAAGGATGTGGCAGTTCTACCCTGTCCTATAGGCTCACTGTGAGTCAGAATCGACTCGACAACAGTGGGTTTGGTATTATTCATTTCGTAGATGGGGAAGTGGAAGTAGAGAGTGGTTAGATGGATTTACATGCCCAAAGTCACACAGCCAGCAAGTAGCAGAGCTTAGAACCCAGGCAGTCTGTCTGCTGGGGTCCTGCTCTGTTAACACAATGCTTTGCCACCTTCCTCATCACGGGTTTCTAACGGAATGACCACACCTTTTCCCTTTTCCCAATTTCTTCCCTCTAAGGTTGCCTAAGAGGAAGAGGAAAAAAAAATAGTAAAAAATGTTGGACTTAAAGTGAAAGACTTAATTCTGAGACTCAGGCTCTACCACCAAAGTGGGCCCTCTTAGTCTCTCTGAATCTGTTTTCTCATCTAAAAATTATACTTTGCCCAACCCATCTCAGAGAGTTACTGTAAAGGTTATACTACAAATAATATATGCTAAGGTACTATATAAGGATAAAGCATTCATTCAGCCAAAAAGTATTTACTGAGGACTCATTCCGTACCAGGTACCATGCGAGGCACTAGAAATACCTTGGTGAACTACACAGAGATAGGCCCTGCCCTCCTGATGTCTCCAATCTAGAGGTGAAGTACTTTACAAGAAAGCAAACAAACAAAAGTTACTACACAGACTAGCTTAAATCTGTGCTTTTCAGTTTAGAAGGATGCACAACTACTTGGTAAAAATAAACATTTGTTCCCTTGTCGCTGGGTATAAAATCGGGGGAGGGAAGCAAAGTCTGTTGCTGCTGATCACTGACACCATCTCCTCTAGTTCTGACACCACTAGTCAGGACTAAGCCAAAAGGGGAGCATTAGGCTTTCAGACTTAGAAACTGATGCTATCCTTTGATTCTCTCCAAACATTTTTCAACCTAGGAATAATACACTAGGCACAAGAGTTTCACGAGTGTAACTCATGTCTAAAATGGAAATGAAATTTCTACCACAAGCTTAAGTCTTCTTTTGAAGTTTATTTCAAGAGGACTTAAGAACTTTCCTAACCATTCTTAACATAGATTACATGACAGTATCTTTCACTTCAAAACAGGGAACATTTATACTGGTGGAAATTCTCTTGTAGTAACCACAATCTGAGTATCTCACTGAATAAAAATACAACTGCAAGTAATTCTGCAAAGTTGATTTTAAGTGATAGTTCAGTGATGAATTTAATAGGAAAAATGATCATGAGAAAATTCTAGTCAACCATAAATATTATTAGTGCCTATATTTGTCAATCAGTAGAGAAAGCAGCTCTCAAAATATAGGATGGTGGGGATTCAGCAAGATAGTAGGTAACTTAATTTCTTCACATTTTCTGTTTTTGATGAATTTTACAAACATTAAAAAAAAAAGAAGCAGCAGCTTTGAACAGCTAAGTAGAAACAAGGCAAGTATTAGAAAGAAAAACTAAGGAGAAATAGGGCAAGACTTGCTCCTAGCTACACAATGCCAAAACTGAGTGGTGCTGGGTTAATTATCTTGTGCTGTTATTTAATTGCTTTATGTTCTTAATCCTCCTTTATCAGGCTCTCTATTACATCTAAGCTGAGAGGGTCATTCACCTCTGATGGATCATATGGATCTAAACTTAGTTCTCTGCCCACCATGATCTCTTAATCCAATTATGTCACCTAAATCAATTTATACTACCCACATCGGCGTCTTCCCTGAGGAATGTGCGGATCCTCCCTTCCTATGAATAAAAACCAAATCCACTGCCGTCGAGTGGATTCCAACTCATAGTGACCCTACAAGACAGAGTAAACTGCCCCATAGGGTTTCCAAGGCTGTAAATCTTTATGGAAACAGACTGCCACATCTTTCTTCCACAGAGAAGCTGGTGGGTTCGAACTGCCAACCTTTCAGTTAGCAGCCGAGTGCTTACCCACTGCTCTATGAGGGCTTGCAGCACTGCAGATGACTTTATCAACAACTCCTGTCTTAACTTTCTCTATCTCTCCTCATCCCCTTTCCACATTTGGCAGCACTGGTACGTAGCGAAATGGTTAAAGCGATCGACTGCTAACTGAAAGGTCGGTGGTTCGAAACCACCAGTGGCTCTGGCTCTGCAAGAGAAAGATGTGGCAGTCAGCCTCCACAGAGATTTACAGCCTTGGAAACCCTACGCGGTCGCTATGAGTCAGAATCAACTTGATGGCAGTGGGTTGGGTTTGGGTGCGTAAACACATACACAATGGAAATAAAAAATAACCCAGGCCAGAATGTCTACAAAAGAAGACTATGGCCTCATGAGTCAGAAGACCAGCACTGTGATTCCAGCTCAGGCATTTATTTCACTGGTAACTTTAGGCAAGCTTCTTACAAAGATCACAGAATGAAAACATATCAGAGCTGAGAGGGACATTCATTCTATTTAGTAAAAAAAAAAAGAAAAAAGTTTCCTAAGCTGCCTACTACGTGCTGGTCCCTGTGCTAGACTCAATCCTCAAGGAGCTCACTGTCTAATGAAGACAAAAGTACATATACAGGTATGAAATACCATCACAGAAAAATATTCATGAGAGATGACTTATGAACCCCCTAGTTTACAGATGAAGATTTCTCCCCCAATATAACCTAAACTGTAGTTGAGAAATACAACAGTAACTGAAGACACGAGTTTTTAAAGTTTCAAAGGTCCACTGTGGTTATTACTGCTTTTACGTGATAAGAGAAACAAATTTTAAATTCTAGTTTAGAAGCAAGGGATGGATTCATTCAGTCCCTTATTCATTTAAACAATCTAGATTCAGGCACTGTGCTAGGTGCTAGGAAATCACAGGCAAAAAGACATGATTACAGGCCTCCAGAGGCTCTGACTCACAGTAGTCTAGGCAAGAAAAACCAACAAGTGTAATACCACAGTGGCCAGCTCCCTCAGTCTGAGTTACTGAAAACTAAGGGTACACAGTAAACAGGATAGATTTATAGACACGTACACTTATATATTAACTTATAACTTACTGGTCTTGTGCACAAATTGACTTTTACACAACAAAGAAATCTTAAGGACGAAATTTGTGATGTGTTCTCTGCTATAAACATGAAGAAACCAGAAATTACTGTTCTCTTTCCCAAAGTCTAACACCTGAGATACACAAAACAAAGTATACTTTGACCTGAACAGAGAAAGCACTAACTTTCTAGGCAAAGATATCCCCATAGCTAAGACAACATTAAATGTTAGGGAAATGGTCTAAGTACTAGTTCAGATAGCCTAAGAGAAAAAAAAAGTAATTTATTAAAAAGTTAACTCCTTTTTCCCAGCTGTATAGATGAATGCTCATCATTATATATGCAGAAAATGAGT